TGGATGGATGGATGGATGGATGGATGGATGGATGGATGGATAATTTCCTGCTGATAACAGAGAGAACCGAGTTTTCTCTGCCTTCCAGGCTGATCAAAGCTTTTCCAAACCCACAGATCTGAGATCAGCCACAAAATGTTGATCTCTGCATCTTTAATCTGTTGCATGAAACAAACGTTACATCATGAGGCTTCAGCTCACTTGATTAAAACATCCTCAGCAACAGTTTCAAGGTAAAACTTGGCTGAACTAAAGAAAGTGGGCTGTTGAATCTGCTGTGGATTAGTCTGGTGGCAAAGGATCAGTAGCTCCAGTGAAAGCAGATAAATCTCCTCCTAAGTATGGCGAGCTGAGCCAAGCCGAGCCAGGACAGCACAGTGACCCTGTTAATCTCCAAAGTGAGCCATCCTTATATGTCACACCACATCCAACTCTCGGCCTCCAAATGCTTCATATGCATCTCCTGCACACTCAGATCCACTTTCTCTTAACAGAGAGGATAAACACTCAGTTGGCGACCATGCAGGCCCGTTTCCTGGTGACGTAATAAAGCCAGAGTCTCGTTTGACCTGTTGATGCTGCTGAAAAAGGTCTCCGTCACTCCTGATACCAATCAGGGCTCCAAAACATGAAAATTCACTTGAGTCAAAGGTGACAGTTCAGATAATCTGTCTGAATGGATCCATTTCAAAGTGTGCAATTCAAAGAGTATTTCACAGCCCTTTATAAATGATGAGTTCATACTCCAAACGCTGACTGATCAGCTGGTCTTGTATCTATTTACACACCCAGAGGTGTCTGTCAGCCTGCTGTCATCCAGCAGTGATGGACATAGAAGCCACAGCAGATGCTTGGCTTTTCATTTCCTGCAGCAGGGCGAGGAAAGCAGCAACACGTGTCTGCTGGAGTGCTTTAGTTACGCTCCGAGACCTTCCAGTTACGCACGCACGGCCGGCGGTCATTTCCTGCTACTCTGCGCTCTGACAGTAAACATGTGGCCGCCTCCATACGGACGCAGGAGGGGCCGATAACTGAACAGAAGTGTAAGATGACTCGGTGTGTTCTGCACCTCATCATCTTTTCTAGATTTTCTCATTTACCATCATGAACGTTTATAAGAATAATACTCAATGAATTTAACAACTTTTTTAAAACCAGATTATGGGTTCTAGACAGGGGCCAACAAGGACCTGTACTAAGGACACAGAGTATACACACAGCATGGATATTTTCCCATGCTGCTAAATCTGTTTTATATGGAGGACCAACTCTGCCATAGAAATAAGTGAAAATGTTCTGAAATTAAGTGTATTTACCCTTAATTTAAGTAGGTAAATGAGACTGTTTGCCAATGGAATAAGTATTTTTACTCCTAAAATAAAATAATTAGATAATATGCACTTGTTTTTTCATATTTTAAATGTAAATTGTCTTGTTCCATTGGCAAAGTGTCTCACTTATCTGTAGTCGACCAAAATCCCAGACGATTTGGAAAATTCCCCCAGGACATTTTTTAGGTATGAAAAGTAGGACATGTCCGGGAAAAAGAGGACGTCTGGTCACCCTACCATATCAACAATCTCAATGTTTCAGAGAGTGAGTGCTTGTTGCTATGATGCGTCTTTGCTCAGCAGCTTCGCTTGTTGTAAACCAACCAATCAGCGCACAGCTCATCTAAATATTCATGAGCATACCATAAAAGGAAGAAAACCTGTCTTTTCATTCTGGGGCTTTTAACCAGGCTTGCATTAGGGCTCATAGAACAGCAATTATGCCATTTTCAGCCCAACCAATGTTACACACCCTATTCAGAGACCTTAAGGACCAGCACCAAATACCCTATAGAATCATTCTATGACCCCTTTAAAGCGGCTTTTTCTCAGACATTAAGTGTCCAGATTCATCTGAAATGAATTTATTGATGGATGGCATTCTTGTACTTATGGTCCAAGCAAAATTAAAATCCATAAACTCTGACCTTAGCATGTTGGTGCCTACAAAACATTAGCCAATCCACGTTAACTACTGTCGAAAGTGGATTGGCTACTTGTTTGTCAATCCAACATTTTGCGTATGTGACGCCATATTATCCCGCTATAACGCAGAAGAAGTAATCCTACGCTTGTTTGCTGCTGCAGCATTTTTGAGCCATTTATTCATTCTTGAGTAAACTGCAGCATCAATGGCCGAAAACAATCCTGACAAACCTAACCAGAAAAGAAAGCATTTTTTGGAAGCTAAGGTAAGTAGCAAGTTGGTTAGCATTAGCCATAAGGATTGAGCTTTTTTGATGGTAAAAACTGACTTTCTGTGGCGATTTTGTCATCATGGAATGTTTTTATTTGCTAATATGCTGGATTACTTTTTATCCCTAGACCCTTTCAGACAAATGGAAGTGAAACAATCTAAGACTGGATTTATAATACGGCCTAAGGGTCGCTTCAAAGGTATGAAGTCGGAGTTGTATTTTATCAATTCTGATTTAACATGCTGCCACATCTTTATTAATTGTGTGGTTGAACTTGATGATTGAATTGTGGAGAATCTAAGCTTTCCAAGCATGTGTAAAAGTTTAACCGTTATTTTCAAACATACTGCTATAAATACACAAAACGGAGAACTGGTGTAATAGGCAGATATTTCTTTGCATTTATCTGTCCAATAAAACAATAAATTTTAGGGCATCCATGCATAAGAAATATGAAAACATCAAGAATATGTTTAAAAGTTCCCTTTTCGCTCATATTTCAATGGTCCCTACATAAAATCCTAATAAAATACATTTAAACATTGGAAACTTTTCAAATGAACTCTATGCCGCTTTTTTAAGTGTTTTTTTTTTTATGAAAAGAAAAATGTATAATCAGAAGAATTTAGGCAGGTAATGATGACATATTATAATAAAAACATGTTAGATTTACAGTCTTTGTTAAAGGTTTGCACAGGATCTGTGGTAAAAATGTGGTGATGACCCAATACATGCACACACGATTGTTCTTTAGGTGTTTGGGAAACCAAACCCAACAATCAGCTGTTCCTCTGATCCCATGACTGCACTAAACAAAGATATTCCAGGTTGCCAGGGCAACATGCTAAAACATTTACCCTGCACCCGCCTCCAACACGGCAGCCAGATAAGCAAACGTAACTCTTGACTGGAAATATGGTCCAGACAGCATTCTGCTGGGAAGAAAACGGCTCCGAATCTGTTGAGAAAGCCGTTCTGAAAGTAACCAGACCATCAAACCATGAGTGACAGAGCATAAACTCAATTAGCGTCAGAAGCGGACACTAGTAATAAAACACAGGCGTTGTTGCAAAGGAGCCTGGGGGATGCTGAAGCCTCTCCCTAATTAGATAGCCCTGTCTTTGTGCCTGACTTGGGCCGACTCCAACGAATAGCAGATAAGAGAAGAGGATGTATGGATTAGATAAGAAGCGTTTAGTGGCTGTGGGCCTTTTAACGGCAGGTGGCTTCCACTATCCAGCCGATACAATCTGCTCTGTTAGCGAGGAAGCAGAAAAATAGCACATGTCCGTCTGAAAAGCCCTTCCTGGGATATAACAGCCAATGAATGGACCGTCGTTTAAACAACATTTACTAGGTTCCTTTGAAGTATGAAACTAAGATTAATACTATAGTGTTAAACAAATTGGTCTGAATGATCGTAAGATATTTATTGGTAGAGCTGAAAAATGTATATAAAACTCAAGTCTTCATCACAATATAAATGTATTATAATATAATGACTGGTTTAAGAAACTGGTTACCAATGATTTCTTTATATATTTGATGTAGTTATCTTTGAAGTGGAAAAAAATTAAATCAGTAACTTAAACTTAAAGGCATTAAATGGGCATCTGTGAAATGGGCGGTTCTAGACAGGGGCCAACAGGGGCCTGTACCCCTGTAGCTCATGTCCTGGCCCCTATTATTGCCCCTGTACCAAAGACATAATACTGGATGTGAGCTGGAACAGACATGGTTACTGATAGGTAGTTCCTTTGGATCCATTTNGGAGGACCAACTCTGCCATAGAAATAAGTGAAAATGTTCTGAAATTAAGTGTATTTACCCTTAATTTAAGTAGGTAAATGAGACTGTTTGCCAATGGAATA